ACAATCATTTGAGTAATTTCAGCCCTGAAATTGCCAGTTTCGACTGAACTAAAGGTAAAGGGTAGTTGTTAACTTGAAAACTACTGCTTCGTGACATCACAAGGTGGAACAGAGCATTTGGAGTTTTGAAGATGTAGACAGCCTAATAATACATTAAACATCTGGGTGTATTTTTGAAGAGGCAACAACATTACAACATGGCTTAAAGCTCACAAGAGTCAATTTTGCCAATGTAGAAACACTGGCCTTACACAATTTTGTCAGTCTATTTTGTTACTTACTTTCCTAAAAATATAAGAACCAGAAAGGTAAAAGTATCCAACATATTGCTGAGTAATTACATAATTCTATTCTAATCCCAGAGATCACTTCTTGTACTGGCCACAATGGTAACTAAAGCGATAGCATCGTCATCACCACAGAAGGAAAAAAAAAAAAACGAGACCACAGGCGCCATGACTCACTTCTCACCATTTCTAGTATTTCCTGAACTTGCAAAAGTTCATATATATAAATGTTCCATGAATCAGGCTGCAACGCAACTGTTTAACTGTTACCTGTTCTTTATAATCCTTCACACATTGTATTTCTCCAACAAAAGTTGGAAACAAACAAACAAACAAAAAGTTTAGAATTGCAACTTCATACTCAAGTACATTTTCTAATGTGAAAGAATTAGATCAGTATGACAGAAGAAGGTATATATATATATATATATATATATATATATATATATATATATATATATATGTATGTATATATATGTATATATATGTATATATATATAAGGAGCTCTTGTTGTCAGAATAAGTCCACTGCTTGCTGCCTACACCTAATTAGAAAGTGTTTTATTGTCACATAATCAGGTAAGATGCTAGTATTTGTCAGCTTTACCTCTGCTCTGCTCCCAGAGAGCTGTGAAAAGCATTGATAAGCTCATCATGATGAGTAATTAGATTGCTCAGAATGCATTAGGTACTGTAGGTGGGGAATAACTTTGCACTGCAAACTGTTTAAAATGAACTAGTTCTGATTCTCATGTCTCCATAAAATATCAAGTAGCCTACAGTGTCTAAGTTCCACCCATCAGATCTCAGTGGGCTTGTGCCTCCCCCCAGTGCCACCCCTTGAACCATTTTGGGGGTTTGTTAAAAAAGAAAAATTTAATTAATTGTGGAACACAATTACAGCAGGACCACAACAAGGAGCAAGGCCACATGTCAGACCAAGACATGTGTTACATTTGTGGTTTATTTTTTTGTTGAGAAGAAGGAAAACGTTTCCAGTTAATGCAGGTTTGTTTGCATGTATTTTCAGGTCATCACAAATTCAAACATTATAATAATAAAAGTCTTACTCTTCAAATTGTTAATTGTTGAAGTTTATTTTGGTGTCTTGCGTCAACACGTGCCCATTCTTTGTGGTATTATGAGGCGACAAATAGACTCCAGCTGTGGGGAATATGATTGTAGAACATTACATTTGACCTGAAACATCTCTAAGAACTTTGACCTCCCTTGTTTTCCTCACAACAGTAAACAAGTGTACTAACGTTATAGTGTTATAGTCAAGTATCTTTCCAAAACTAGCCCACCTTTATATTAGAGGTGAACAATAAATGTAATAAATATTCCAATATACCTTTTTCAAGCTATGATCATATCCACATTTTTTACAAGCCATAAATGTGTTAGAATGTGCATATGAACATATTAAATTTAAAATATAAGTGGGCCGACTTTTAAAGTAATTAAACGTATTCAGTTTGGAAGATTACACAGAACAGATTCTGTTCTTTTGTTTAACAAACTCTTTTGGCAGCTTTCTCGTAGTATACTGTATATGATCTTAAAATTGTGCTTGCCTTCAGTTTCAAAACATCAATTTCCATATTGTCTCATAGATGATCTAGTAATATCCAACAGACCTCTAGACAAGGGATGTCACAATATCATATTTTAGTGATGCAATAATAGTGAGAAGAAACATTACAATTTTACAATTATTCACGGTTACTGACACCATCACCAAACAGTGAAATGCACCATTTTCTCTAATTTCTGTGGACTAACATGTTGCCATTCCTCCAGTTTTATTAAAACCTTCTCATTGATAATGTGACATAAACAGCCAAACACACACAATTTTAGTTCTTTGAGTATAGCTTGAATGCAAATGACTTAATTTTGCTTGTAAACTGTCACAACTATAATTTTTTAGCTCTTGTGATTACACTGTGACCTGAGTCACCACAATTATTGATTGAAGTAATAATCTTGACATCTGTACTCTTGGCAAGAGCCACTGGAGGATTAGTGGTCTCTTGACAACTTGTAATAGGCTAGTTTGTGACACTGTGTCAAAAGTCTCACAGTGTTGAGACATGTGTTGAATTTGTGAGGTCACATGTTCATGGGTTAAACTGCACTTCTCACATTATCCACAGAATATGGAGGATCTTTCTTTACAAAAGGGACACACTAAAAGGCTTTATGTTCTTTTTCAGCAAGTACTTATCATTTAATGTTGACTTTGAATAATTATACTTTAGGTAGTAAAAGAGGATGGAGTTTGGGAATGTAAATGTGAGAGAAACCAACAGTGTCTCGCCATGGTCTGCCACTGCACTGTCAATGTGAATGACAGCTCGTATTAAAGCAGACATTACTGCATCATACACGACAAAGGAAACTTGTTACAGTTACTTTCAAACACATTGCCAACACAGACCCAAAAGACTCAACTGAATACTCGCCTGTGTATTTGAAGTGTGTTACTGTAGTATTGTTGAACCTTCTCATGTTGTAACGATGTGTGAACACCAGAGTTTAGCTGTTGTGCATGACAAGTGCACCAGTGCCAAGTGTCACCACAGGCTGAAGAGTTTGGAGTGAGAGCTTAAGTCAAAAGCAAGCTGGTAAACTGACTGCTGCTGAACAGTCTTTACACATACAAGGGCATTAAATGATTAATCTCAAGTAAGACTGTTAACACAAGCTTGTCATCATCTGAACATTGTGAATATGTTGCTTTTAATTGAATTAAATTAATTATGAAACAAACAAACAAAAACAAACAAAAAAAAAACCTAAAACATAATGCAAAAGTAAAAATGCATTCAACAGTGTGTACCCCCTGCGTCTTTGTCTAATGAGTACAATTTTAACTTTATTTAATTTATCATTACATATTAACAGAAATGAAATGATGAAGGACACAGAAGAGCAGTAGGACACAATGTTATGTGAATTGTGACAAAAATAAATTAGGTCTTTGAACCAAGATTTGCATCAGATTTTATTATGAAGAAGAGATTTGACTGAAGTGAAGGCTGTGCAACCCCAGGCTTGGAGTGAAAGTGGTGTGAAAAAAATGTGAGAAAACTGATCTACATTTTTCAGATTTTTAAGGTTCCGCTTTGGGACATTTGACTTTTCCTACTCATAAAATATACAGGGTACTGGATTACAAATGCATTTTATTGAAGCAATTCCTCTCACTATTTTGAAAGTAAAATAGATGGATCTTACAAAAGTTAAATGACAACTAATAAATGTCCTTTAACTTTTACATGTGAGGCTATAGGGTAGAGCTCAACAATAGTGGAATTACAGAGCATCAACACAGTAGAAAAAAACAAAATACAGCCATATGACCAGGCTTCACAATTACACTTGCACCACTACAAACACACTGCAGGGTGTGGCCCACATTTGGAGGTTAGGCAGTAGGAGACATGGTTAGTTAAATCTTTAGATGGCAGGCGACAATTTGCCACTTTATTTATACAGCTTTGGTAGGAGCACAGTTGAGGTGAAGCAAAATCTAACAGTTATATCAAAGTGTTATTTTCAGTAAGAACTTTAAAACTTTTCATAAAACAACTTCTGGCATACTAGTGAATCGTAATAAAAGCACTATATTTCACAACATAAATGGGGATATGTGAAAAAAACAAAAAAAAACCACACTTAATCACTACACTACTACATTAATAAAGCATGAACAAAGACTGAACTCATTATGATGAACAAACAGTTTATTAAGAATGTTTCAATCTTATAACTAACAGCCCCTTAATTAATAAGTTATTGAAGTCTTTCTTCATGCTTTGTGTACGATGTTTACTTTTTAACCTCAAATAGATTAAACTCATTTGTAAAAGTTTATGTCTATCTGGATTGGCCATAAATATAATCCTTGTACAAGAGCATGAGTGTAGCTCTGTGATTACTGTGGTGGAGGTAGAGCTCTTAGTGGACAAGCTGCTGCCCAGAGTCTGACCAAACTATGACCACCAAACCACTCTAAAGCCTAATGGTCTCTTTCTACACACTACTTAGTTTCTTGACATAAACGCTGTGTTGAGGTAGGCTGCACTGTATAGCCATGAATGATACTAGCGGTTGTACTTTTAAGAGCTTGTAATGCCCACTTTGTATTGCATACAAATATTCCTTCTGTTTGAATGCACCATTTTACTACGTGTAAAAGACAGCTGACATTTCTGCCACTGGTGACAAAACTGCACTCTCGCCTATGGCGGCTGTAAAGTTTACATGGACAGGTGGAGATCTGTGTGCACAGGTCCCCAATAAAAGGTAAACATTTGTGGTTCTTGTGTAAAACGACTATCCTTAACCCCAAAAGTAACTTGAAATGCTTTTAACAGTAATCGAAAAAGTTCCATGTTAGAATTAGTCGTTTTCAATACTAGTTGTAAATAAAATAGTGTCTGGTACCTCTCATTTGCAAACCCCGCCATACAAGTGATGGTCCGTGCGTCGTGGCATCATTTTGTATTTCGCGCCCTTATTGACCTATTCTTCTGATGATAACGGACCCTCCAGCTCATCGAGCCTGCGATGTAGGCGTGAAACTTTCCCCTCAACTTTTCCTCTCTGCTCCTCCCGCGGCCAATAACAGGGCTGACTCCAAAGTGGGGTGTGCTCTGATTTGCTCGTGTGTCTTGTCCTCGCGCTGAGTGACAGCCCACGAGTGAAGACTTCTCGTGTTGCCCCGCTGGACTTGGAGGGGCTGTACGTGACGCTGCGGAGGGGGCGACACTTGTGCTCCAGGACAGAGCAGAGGAGACACGGGAGTCGCGGGAGTGACGGTGTCCATCCGTCAAGCAGCTGGAGGAACCCCACTACCCGACCCTTATGGCTGCTTGAGACACAGCGACAGACCCCCCCTTCCCCCTTTCTTCTCTTTCTCTGGGACTTTTGGTTTTTACTTTGTCGTCCACAGAACGTGTTGAGTCTAAAAAGTTTCTTCAGGTTGAAAGTGAATCCACTTGCCGTGGACGTCTCTGGCGGTCATGGATACCCATATTAGGTGGAAAGTTAAACGGAGGATAAGGGACGCTCAACTCACTTTAGTGGTGATTCTGCTTTTTGTCACATCGCAAGCATTTTCAGGTAAGGAGAGGCTGCAGTTTGCACATCCACTTTTAAGGCAACAGCACTCAAAGTTTCTGTCTGATCTGTGGTGAAGCCAACCCCTCCTCCCTGTCTCATTCTTTATTGGCAACAATGAAGAACTGGAGAAGTTGTCCATCTAACGCAATTGCCTAATTCTAAGAGAAAAGGAAAAGCTCACAATATATGGTGAAAGTGTTTGTTTTGCCTAAACATTTATTTAGAGTTTGAGTCTAAATTGTCTCATTTATTTGACTTACATTTAAGCTCCCTAATAGTCTATTAGTCTCGGGTTGCATGCTCGCTATGGACTTTGCAATTTGGATGCAGTTGTTTTGCATTGGCCATTTTTAATACCAGAACAACGCACAAGATTAATTTTTAAAAGGGCGGGGCTGCAGCTTTTCTGAAGTGGTAGGGTGGAGCTGGTAAAGATGTCCAGCGTACGTTTTTTGTTCAGGACTGTAAAGGCAGTAGACAGTTGTCAGTTTGAGGCCTTTTTTTTCTGGAGTCCTGATTTCATCACCACTCAGCAAAGGGACTGTTGTGTTTGTAGGGTCCTGCAGAGGTCACAAAGCACTGTCTTGGTCACTCACAGGCTCTGCCCTCATGTATTATTAGCCCCATTAGAAGGCCTGCTTTGTTGGTGGTCTGTAAGCTGTAAGTCTGCTGCACATGTCTTTATGTTCAACAGGTGGCTTCAGGAGAGCTATGGTTTACAAAAATGAGAAAGTGTCTCAGAATGTGCTGAATCTCCAAAAGCTGAGTAAAAGATGCATGCTGCAGCTAAAATAATTTGTGGTAGAAATATAACAGCTGGCAGTATTTTATGGCTGAATAGAATTACAATTTACAGCAAAAATGTTTTTAATTGCAGCCTATAAAATGGGGTTGTTAAATGTACACTTTGTTATTAGTTTAGTTGGAGCGTGTTTGGCAAATATGTGATCACTGGTGGAAAGTATTTATTAGATAACACCCTGGAAAAGGCAGATTAAGTTATTTCTGCAGGCAATATTTAATCAGCTCCTCACACTGACAAAGAGAGCAACCAGACTCTTGTAAGCAATCCTCAAGGGTAGTGGTACACTTCCTGAAACCTGACACTTGACACATGCCAAATGGGAAATGACTTGATGACTGATTGTTGGCAACATGACAGCTTCTATGTAAACTAATGGAGGCCAATGATTTTGGTGTGAGCAATTTTATATAGGTTGTCCCCCTGTTCCATGTAAATCACGGAAATTGGATATATATGCCATGAGTAGATGTTTAGAGTAGACCATATTTAAAACCATTATATAGAAAACAGACATACAGCAGTGCAACAGTGTAGCAGTTATAACACTTACATTTTTCAGTCCATATGTTGCCATGCTAGTTTGAAGAGCAAACATTAAGTCAAGGAAGACAAATGAGCACAGTTATTGGTGTAGTACATGTGATTTTTTTTTACAATGCAGGTTATTAGTATCCCTCATAACCATAATGCAGCAGCAGTTGCATTGTAAGTCAAATTCTGAAGCAGAACGTGAAGTCCCAGTGGTCGGTTCTTCTTGGAGGTCATCTTGACATGACATTAATGGGGAAAGCCCACTTTGAACTGACTGGTAATAACAGGCGCTCTATGAGACACGCAGGTCAAGAATGAGCAGAAGGTTAGAGGGTCAAAGGTGAAGGTCAGGACTTTTAAACAGCTTCTTCTTCTGGGTTTACAGTTTCACTGCAGAGTACACTGAATTTTTGTTGGATGGGTGTTTCCACAGCTTGCAACAAAGCAAACTTTTATGAGTTGCTTATTCAGAATAGTTTTTTATGAGTTGTTGACATACTTAATAACTTTAATAACAAAATAACATTCTTTGAATACTTTTATACATGAAAACAATGGTGGTAGGTGAGACACAGGGGCATCTTAAGATGGTCCAGTAGATACACAACAGGAGTACCACATCCATACTGTGCTGTATGTTTTTGTCATATCTCCATACACTGAAGAAAGCCATTCTTCAGTTTTACTGAACTCTTCCACATCTGGATTCAATAGGTTCCATTGTGCTGTCTGCTAAGCCTTTCAAAAGGCCAGAAAAAATGTCTTCCAGATGTGTTTTTCCCATTCTAGCAGAAACTATGAGGGAGTAGCTTTTGCACCAACTTGTGAAGTTTTTAAAAAGATTTCTTATCACAAAACAACTGTCACTATAGCCAAGTTTTTAAAAATAGTATGTTGTGTTTTTAGTTGGAACCCCTCCAACCCTGAAGATGTATAGCACAGACTGTATAACTGGCTGGAATTCAATTCATATTATATGTATTTATGAAGCAGATCAGAAAATGAAAACACAAGTTTTCTTTCACCCTTGCTCTGGTCAGAATCCATTCTGTCTGAACTCACCTGTTCACACCTTTCACTTCATATTTTTCAGTGCATATCCCAAACTGTGTTGTTCTACAGCAGTGGCCTGTTTCAGACTTGTGTCCAACTCAATCAGATAATTGGAGTGGCATTGTGTGTGTGCCTTATGGTGTAGCCCTGAGGAAGGAATCTGAGTGAGCTGTGCTGTGGAGCGAGGCAGTGACCCTCGACTGCATGTGCCACTTCATCTTGTAAATGCAGCCTTTGTGGACGGCACTCTGTAAATCAGTGCTAATGCCTGACAACAAAATGGTAGATAAAACCAAATATGCAAGATTTAAGCCCCTTATGTTTACATGGTTCTTTGTGGAGAACAAAGCCTGCTGTATTGCTGAAGCCAGTATCTTTATCAATGTGTTGTCTACTTTTCCGGACCAATTAGGGTTCAAAACATGACTACTTTGTACTCATTATAGACTATGGAAACTAATTGGGGCCAAGTTTAGGCCGTTGTGCTTGTGATGTAGTAGAGCCACAAGCAAATTTGTTATTGAGGTATAGCTACAAACGCAATGTTCTCATTGAGCTGCCCTAGTTTAAGCCTCATAGATAAACTAAATATGCTTAACTCCCATCATGCAGCGGTTCTTCCAATATGGGATGTTTAGTATTGGTGTAATATTTAGTATGCCTGACAGGATGAGAACTGTAAATCTGGTTGAAAAACATAAAGAGCTGTATTGACTTGTGCTGGAAAACAGTACTTTTCAGTGTAATGGTATTATAATCATTGAGCATGGAAAGCAATGAATGAGTCATCCTTTCCAACCCCAGTCCCCCTCGGTCAGCCCAGCTCTGCCTCAGCCCACTGCCTCACCGCAAAAAATACTCACTGTAAGCACTTTAGCCTCACTGCTTCATTATGGTCACTTCAGGTCCTTTCTGCTATCAGTAAAGAATAGTTTTCATAAAATTGATTGATATTTCTTACTGTTTGCAATATAACTCATAAAGCAACAATTCAATGTTGTATTTAGGAAGTAGTATGGGGCTAGGAAGAAATATATAACACTTAAAAGTAATCTAACTCATAGTGTTGTGTTAGTGTTGTTAAATCCCACTGCTTTCATTCATTTTTTATGTTTTACCCTTGTGAGATACAGTATAAGAGACTATGAAGGACAATGGATATAAGTTCTGAGAGGCTCTGGTTCAGTTCTCGCTTGGTATGAGTTTGAGAGTTCTCATTTACATTTATATAGAGCTTGGGACTGTGTTAAACCATGGAGATTTTCAGATGATAAGTAGATCCAAACTTAGCATAGCAGACCTGGGCCCTTGGTCTTTTTCAATCTGGCCTCCGGCAAGTTTTTGATAGGAATTATTATAGCATAGAAATACATGACAGTAGCCCTTAGTTTACAGAATTTTGCTTATGATGAGCATTTGTTACACCAGTGACTGAGCACTCTGCCACATACCTGGATTCAAATATGGACCTCAGGAAAAAAAAAGCCCATCCTGCTCTACAGAGTATTAAATGTTTTTACCAGTAGTGACCCAGCAGCTTAGTGGATTGTTCCACAGCTCTTTTGTTTACTTTTGTTCACATTAGTTTGACAAATGCCTCTCTATGAGCAGTTTATGGATTTGTGCAGTATTTTATGCCACTTCTCTGTTAATAGACAGAGTAAACTGATTACCCATGGTGAAAAGGTACAAAATATAACAAATGAAATGTACTTAAAACTAAGTAAAACTTGGCATCAGAGAAGGTTATGTTAAGTTGATGGGGTTGTAAATTGGAGAAGTGTGATTGCTCCTGTGAATTGTAATCTTGAGTCAGTTTTTCCATCTCAGGCTGTGGTGGACAGCAGACAGTGATTTATCTCCATGGCTGTGTGCTGCAGCATGGAGACAGTGAAGTCAACCATCTGGTATTCCCCCTGTTAAAGCAATACAAGTTTGTGTAAAACAGCAGTCCACAGGAGAGGCACTGAGACAAACGTTCAGGTGCTTAGTGCTTTGACTGTGTGACATCGCATAGCTGTCAGTCTGTAGGTCTATGTCATCTGTTTATTTTGCTCCTATGGTCCTGTAGACTCTTTACAGAGCAGGCTACTTTGAAGTTGCAGAATCTGACTCACTTGATTTGATAGTAAAATGCTGATTTGATGAAAATGATCCATCGTACCTCAGTTTCTGTTAAGAGCAAATTTTAAGTATTTGTTTTCTGTTTACCACATACAGTACATACTGAAAGATTTATGTCTGGTTATAAAAAAACTAGACCTCAAACACTATGTTGGCAGGAAGTGTGCAGGTGTGCTTATAAGTCAGAAAGTTCTCCTCTCAAATCATTTGCCTGGAACCCAGTTTACCTCTCTACCTCTCGTCATTTTGGGAGACAGATCTTGACTCTGCATTGTAGAAGCTAAGCTGCTTGCTTGGGTTGGTACTTGCCTGATTATCGTTAAATTTGTATGTGCTTAACCTTGCAGTTCCTGTTTTTTTGTTTTTTTGTTTTTTTTTTATCATAGTTTGCTTTTACTTTGTTATTAGCCTTAATGGTAACCTTCTGTATCCACTGCAGTCTTCCATTCTCACCACATTTGGCTTTAGTTATGTTGTTTTTTATCAC